GCAGCATTGTAGAAAACAGTAAAACAAGACTTAGCCCAAAGTAGTCCTTTTAGAAAGTTCTGCAAACTCTAAAAAAGATTCAAAACAGTAAACAAAATAACTAAATAAGTATTTGATCTCAAAAGCACACCATGAGAAGAAACCACAGGCTAACAACACAACAATACAATTGTTGTCTGACCGTAAGCAYGAGTTTTGTACTCCATCTGAGGGCAATGATGTAAGCATGCCATTAATATTCTATCTTCTGATCACGATCAGATCAACAGTCACAAAACAGCGAACGTTATTTATTTTTTCATCTTCTATTTGTTTGTTGTAGCTATAGATTGCCTCATAGTTATATTAGCACAATGGGAACATAAGCATCTTACCAGCAGATAACATAGTTCCATCTTCATATTGCTTGGTTACTACCACATCCACAAATTCTCTTGGCGAAATAATCTTCATGAAAGCTGTAGGGGTTGTGGTTCTGCATACAGAGATGTTCTAGAAGTTACAAAACAGAATTATGTCAATCGTTGCTTTCAGAAATACAACAGAAAGATAATTAGACTTTAACCATACTATTGAGGCACAATCACTATTTAAAAAAAAAATGCAGTTCAGCACAGTTAAAACTCTCACTTCTGGCACTAATGTGTATGGATGGACAAACTAATGGGGAAAAAGAGTGATGTTGCTCACAGGTCATATAAGGACAGACACCACAAGGGATGCTGAAAAAGGAACTGGGCACATCTGTATGTACGCGATATTTAAAATGCCTCTCTTTTTTAAGGAGTTAAAGAAGATATCTTCTTTGTACCAAATCACACAGTATGAAAGTTGATACCTAGATTTGTTCTACTGCAGAAAACTTGTTATTTTGGTCCCCTTGTATGAAGGCACTATGATGRAAAACTCACAGAAGAGTGTTTTCTGTCATACTGGTAAACACCAAGAAGTCTAATATAAAGTCTATGAATATCAAATCGCAGGCTGTACCACTTTTAAAGATGTAGTTTATATTTAATTCTGTATGTTTATGAAATTCTGACAAGAGAAACCTGCCTATGGCTCGCACAACATCCCTATGCTCGGCCATCTCGCATCCTGGAAGCCTCAGAAGACCCTCTGCCCACGGCTTCTTATTTGATGAGCCAAGCCTCCCTCTTTTAAATAAAACTCTAGAAACGAGACTGTGTTCCCAGAGTGGCCACACGCAGCCCTTTTCACCCCGCAATGCTCCAAGCACTTCACGTGGACATAAAGAGCGTTTCTGTGCAGCCGAGGGAGCTGCTGCGACAGGGCCGGCGGCCGGGGTGAGGCGAGGACAGTGCGTCCAGGCCTGCACGCAGCAGCGCCGGCTTCTTCGGCAAGGGCCCATTCTATAAGCCTCCTCCTATTCCCTTGCAAATAACTCGCAAATACAACTATATACATGTAACRAAACGCGTGTTCCTCTCTCCAGAAACCAAGGCCAGGCTCCTCGGGACCCTTGCAGTTTTCCAGGGGCTTACCTCAGCGATGGCCTCCACGACCTCGAAGTCCTTCACGTTTTTGTCCCACTCTGCTCGCAGGCCGCCGGCCACGGGCTTGATGCACTCCCAGACGCGGGCAGGGCTGGCGGGCACGGAGCCGTCGCCGCGGTAGCTGCGGGGCAGCAAGGCAGCTGGAGCCGAGCGCGCGCGGGGAGGCGGGGGCCGCCGCTCCGCCTCCCCGGGCAGCGCCGCGGAGCGCGCAGGGGCGCGGGCCGCTCACATGTTGCCGGCGAACTCGTCCGAGGGCCTCCAGGACACGCTCACCTCGTCCTGCGGACAGGGGAGAGAGAG